TTCCCACGAGCTCACACGGAAGGATCGTCTGTGGGCGCACTATGCAGCCATGCGGGAACTCTTCGGTGCTGAAGAGTTCGACTATCTTCCTGAGACCTTGTTCTCCCGGATGAAAAGAAATCCTTCCTGGACGTACTGATAGGATCCGTCTTACTCTCACTGAACATCCCCCCACACATAGGCCCATGAGAAGCATCCTTCCTGGCTATGGATTGTGAAGCCACCTTCGCAGTCCCGAGGACGGGGAATCTTCATACTGCGTGATCTGGAAGATTTACCAACCGACTCTTCATGCGTTATCAGCCGCTATATTGTCGATCCTTACCTCATCCAGGTGAGCCAGCATCTTCGTTTGGACCACCTTCTTATGTGCTATTAGGGCTATAAGTTTGACCTCCGAGTCTATGTCCTGGTCACCGGCTTTGACCCACTGCGGGTGTATTTATATCGGGAAGGGCTCACTAGGCTGGCCTGTAGTCCCTTCACAGTGAAGACTGCGGAGGACCTGCAGAACAAGTGAGCAGAGTACGCCCTTCGAGGTCCGATCGACCACGTGTTTATGATAGATACGCCCACCTCACCAACTACTCTATTTGTAGGAGCTCCGACGATTATGTCGAGAACAGAGATGCAAGGGTGGACCACTATGGTCATAAGTGGAGCCTATCGGCTCTCAATAGGCATTGCTCTTGCAGTGGCCTTGACGTGTCTGAGGTACCTCTCCACCTCTATTATCACAGCTGGCCGGCATGTCATCATCTCAGGTCTGGGGCTCTATCATTGATATCATACTGAAGACTCTTGTGGCATCCGGAAGGTTCGGGCAGATTGGTCAGAGTGGCGTGGGCAGGCGGGCGGCTCCGTCTTGTTTTGAGCTCTTTGGGTAAGCCGTCGGTGATTGCCACTATACACTGTTATCACAGTTTCGACATTTTGTTGGACTCCAAGCTTAAGCCATGGCTTATCGAAGTAAATCTGAGCCCCAGTCTCGTGGCTGATACACCTCTTGATCGGAAGGTAGACGGAACCTTCTAGTCGCTCTGAAGTCTATGGTCAGATCAAAGCCCACCTCATCTCCGATATCCTCAACTTGGTCGGTGTACCGTCATCGAAGTCTCGAGGGAACAGTCTCCAGGGATACTATGTCAACACATTTACATCGACAACGAGCCGTCTACTCAAAACGCCG